CGTCACCCTGAATGGATAAATGGCTTATAAAGATCTGTAGGTCTTTTACATAAAATATATATCTTCATTGTATATCTTCATACAACCTGTCAGATAATCTCATAAAGTGCACTAAAAACCATCAAAACACCATTGAAGGTCAAATTAGGTTAAAGATTGAACAGATACACTAGTAAAGAAGGCACCTAAAAGATTATTAGGAACACCATACTAATACTGTGTTTGACCCCCTTTCGCCTTCAGAACTGCCTTAATTCTACGTGGCATTGATTCAACAAGGTGCTGAAAGCATTCTTTAGAAATGTTGGCCCATATTGATAGGATAGCATCTTGCAGTTGATGGAGATTTGTGGGATGCACATCCAGGGCACAAAGCTCCCGTTCCACCACATCCCTATTGGGTTGAGATCTGGTGACTGTGGGGGCCATTTTAGTACAGTGAACTCATTGTCATGTTCAAGAAACCAATTTGAAATGATTTGAGCTTTGTGACATGGTGCATTATCCTGCTGGAAGTAGCCATCAGAGGATGGGTACATGGTGGCCAAAAAGGGATGGACATGGTCAGAAACAATGCTCAGGTAGGCCGTGGCATTTAAACGATGCCCAATTGGCACTAAGGGGCCTAAAGTGTGCCAAGAAAACATCCCCCACACCATTACACCACCACCACCAGCCTGCACAGTGGTAACAAGGCATGATGGATCCATGTTCTCATTCTGTTTACGCCAAATTCTGACTCTACCATCTGAATGTCTCAACAGAAATCGAGACTCATCAGACCAGGCAACATTTTTCCAGTCTTCAACTGTCCAATTTTGGTGAGCTCTTGCAAATTGTAGCCTCTTTTTCCTATTTGTAGTGGAGATGAGTGGTACCCGGTGGGGTCTTCTGCTGTTGTAGCCCATCCGCCTCAAGGTTGTGCGTGTTGTGGCTTCACAAATGCTTTGCTGCATACCTCGGTTGTAACGAGTGGTTATTTCAGTCAAAGTTGCTCTTCTATCAGCTTGAATCAGTCGGCCCATTCTCCTCTGACCTCTAGCATCAACAAGGCATTTTCGCCCACAGGACTGCCGCATACTGGATGTTTTTCACACCATTCTTTGTAAACCCTAGAAATGGTTGTGCGTGAAAATCCCAGTAACTGAGCAGATTGTGAAATACTCAGACCGGCCCGTCTGGCACCAACAACCATGGCACACTCAAAATTGCTTAAATCACCTTTCTTTCCCATTCTGACATTCAGTTTGGAGTTCAGGAGATTGTCTTGACCAGGACTACACCCCTAAATGCATTGAAGCAACTGTCATGTGATTGGTTGATTAGATAATTGCATTAATGAGAAATTGAACAGGTGTTCCTAATAATCCTTTAGGTGAGTGTATATTGTTAGTAAAGTCTGTATTTTCTCATTTTATCTGTTTGCCTGAGCAAGAGACTCATAATAATCAAACATAATCAAACAATAGGGGACAGGGGACATCCCTGTCGAGTTCTAGTTTTGTGTCACGATTTTGTGAGGCATCCATTCATTTTAATTCTAGCTATATGGTCGAAACTTAGAGACTGAAAACTTCTAATTGAATTTCTTTCAGAAAGACTTTGTGCTGTTTTGATCCTGCAGCATGTGAGGGGAGATGATAACAGTCGCTTTTATGAATATAAATAATGGCTCCGTCGCAATAGCCCAGAAGTGCAAGACTGTGTTTTTAGGCATACCACAACACTTCCAATAGTGAAATACCCTTAAATATATATATATAAAAAGAATGTAAACTAAATCCATAAACCGATCCCTTGATGTGAAACCTAAAAAAGTTCTCTATATGAAGTGCCTGACAGAACGTTTCAAGGCTCTATAAAGTTATAAACCACAACATGAGCTGTTAAATGTTTCGAGGGAGCCAGCATCTCTTTTGCCCCATGCACTCGAGGAAAGCATCTATACTCTAGCATGGAGATAAAACTATTCACTCGATATAGTTTAGTTTCATTGAGACATTCGATTTAAATTGCAGCATGACATTGGCAGGAAGTGTTTACCATTCACATTGTTCAGTTCTGGCCTTGAACTCACTGCGTTTCAAAGCATGGCATGAATGTGAGGGGGCGAAATACAGTCGAAATACATAAATCAAGTCAGGTGAGAGGAGGCAAATTATGAAAGTTGCACCTCAGTGCCTGCGATTATCATTAAACTTGCAGTGTTTAGAGGATTTGATGACTATGATCAGTGTTTAAAAAGATACATTTGAGTTAATATGGACATGTATAATATTATAGCAATGCTAACTATATGGTATCCTTAACCGGAGAAAAGTCTAAATATCATGGAAATGTAACATTTATTTATATTGAAAAAAATAGAAATAAAACTTGATTGAAAAATGTATTTGTCCAGTTTGTGACAGGGACATTAATATGCAGAGGCCAAATATAAATAATACATCACTTTCTTTAAGGTCGGGTTTTACAGTTTTTCTCGATTGCTTAAACACTATAACCAGGCTTTTGAACTAAAATTTCAAAACCATAATGCCATTTATCAAAAAGCACACCCATTTCACTGAACTATGAACACTATTCCCCTGTTTTGACACATTAGTCAGATTTGTTGAACTGTCACAGCAAAACTCTACACACAAATCCCTTCATTTCTCATTGCCTACACCACATGGTCATTTAGAAAGCACTAGCATTCAAAATTGTTCACTCAAGTCAGCTCAGCTTCAGCTCAGTTAGCACACAATTACCCAGGTGAAAACACTAAGAGTCAAAATTGAACACACATCAGTCAGATCCTTCAATAGATAGATAAAAGGTTACACAATCTTTTATAAAAGATAAAAATCAGTTTACTGAGTTTTGGAACAATGGATCCACAGAGAAATTATAAGCAATAGGTCGAGGAGGGAGAGGAAGAGGAGGAGGAGGAGGAGGAGGAAGAGAAAGAGGAGGAGGAAGAGGAGGAGGGAGAGAAGGAGGGGGAGGAGGGAGAGGAGGAGGAGGAGAAGGAGGAGGGAGAGGAGGAGAAGGAGGAGGAAGAGGAGGAGGAGGGAGAGGAGGAGGAGGAGGAAGAGAAAGAGGAGGAGGAAGAGGAGGAGGGAGAGGAGGAGGGGGAGGAGGGAGAGGAGGAGGAAGAGAAAGAGGAGGAGGAAGAGGAGGAGGGAGAGGAGGAGGGGGAGGAGGGAGAGGAGGAGGAGGAGAAGGAGGAGGGAGAGGAGGAGAAGGAGGAGGAAGAGGAGGAGGGAGAGGAGGAGGGGGAGGAGGAGGGGGAGGAGGGAGAGAAGGAGGCGGCAGAGGAGGAGAAGGAGGAGGAAGAGGAGGAGGAAGAGGCGGAGGAGGAGGAGGAGGAAGAGGAGGAAGAGGAGGAGGGAGAGGAGGAGGAGAAGGAAGAGGAGGAAGAGGTGGAGGAGGAAGAGGCAAGGGCAAGAAGACAAGCAGTCTCGGATGAAATTCAAGCCACTTTAGTTGGCCATGTCCTTGTCCATGGTATGACTATGAGGGAGGCTGGGCAACGAGTACAGCCAAATATGAGTCGCTTCACCGTCGCCTGAACGTCGCTTCACCATCATCAGAACCTTCAGGGAGGTGTGGTGGCAAACAGATTTCTATCACTGAATAAGAGACAAACATTTCCAGTTGTCTTTGATGAGGTTTATGTTCTTGCAAGAAAAGGCCAGCAGTCGTACAGTCACACAGAGTGTGTGTGACAGTGAAGGGAGGGCATCCTTTCTCCTTTATAGTCTTCACTCACAGAATGTTATCTTTCTAGGCCAATGATGGTATTTCAACCATATGTGGAACATTACTGTATTAGACTTGTTCATCATATTGTATCATTGAGTGGAGGCATGTACCAACACTCTTTACCATTCCAATACAATTCCAGATTTGAATAAGGTTTGTGTGTGCTCTTTTACTGTCATATGATGCTCACACACATCTTACGTATAGTAGGAGAGAGTAAAAACATGGGGGTTAACATGCACAAGCAACATGAATTACCAGTTTTGGAAATGTTGTTTTGAATTTATAGCACCAGTGTGTAAGACTATGTTGTAGTGTGTGTATTTTTGAGGGCTTGTGTGTGCTGTCTGAGGGCAAAGTTTGGTTTTTCAGCAAGAGTGAATGGTTTTGAGTGTAGAGCTTCATTTTGACCTGGAAATAGGATGTTTGGGGAATTGGGTGAGACGTTATGGATTTGTGTTTACTGTTTTGAGAATACGAGGCATAGTTTCAAGAAATGTGTTTAAGCAATCGAGAAAAACTGTAACATAAATTGAGTGTCCGAAAGTGTACATTTTAACAGTAATTTACTGTTTTTAAAGCTAAAGCGCTATTGTCTCAGTCTTGTCACAATACATTTTGCATTTATATCTTTATTAGATTAAAATATGAAAATTTAAATCAGTTTGGAGGTGCTTTCTATTAAACTGAAAGTATTAATAACCCATTACATTTCTCTCAAACATGCTGTGTGCCAACCGGGCACATTCAAAATCCTTTGGGAATGATTGAAAGTCTCAGTGCAGAATAAGTACTCAGTGTTTATTTGCTCAGCTCTGATTTCAGAAAATGCATGGATGATACTAGTAAACATGTTCCACATCATTGGTTTGTTTTATTGCCATTTATGCCAGCCGATATGATTGTTCCCAGACAACAGTATAGTGTCGGCCCAGATCCGGCCCACATCTGGCCCGGATCTGTGTCGGCACTATGTTGATGTCTGGGTTGTTTGTTCAAACTTGAGGTAAATGGTTTCTCCGTGAAACCATGCAATACCCAGAATGTTCAAGGTCTGGTGTTGAGAAGACTTTTGAAATAAGCTTTGTCCAAGGTCAGTTATGAGGCATGAAGGCAGAGATTTTAAGTAAACTGAACATGTAAAGGTTTTAAACTTTATAAATGCAACAAAATTACAGGGGGATTTTCTAGTCATAGATAAAAAACAAACAAAAAACAGCTCCAATGTCTTTGGAAAGAGAAAGAGAAAGAGATTTTTGCTATTCCATAAGAGAGAAAAATTGTACATGTATATAACAACGCTACAATGTACATTTGATTTTCTATGTTGCTTTTCTAAAATACATGACTGACAGTGAGATCTTCTTTGAGTGGCTTGTAAAAGTGAAGGTCCTCCCCAGACTGAAAAAAAGAAAGAAAGATGAATACACTGAACAGCTTTCTGAAGTCACCATGAACACTGCAGTTGGTCTGTTTTAATTGTAGTGATAATACCGCACCTTTGCACTCACACCCATTTCAAACAGTTCTTTCAAAGTCAAGACAGAGAAACTGAGGGTCACACTGAGCTGAAGGCCTGAAAAGATCATCATAGTGACATCCAGCCCTTCACGGATCTAGAGTTGGGAAAGAGCAAATTACTTGTCACGACTGAAGCCAAAGCAACTTAGAAATCTGGGAGATATAACATGTGTATTAAGGGATAGTGTTTCTCTCTTTATCTAGACTAACGTTAGATGTATAAAAGAGAGAAAAAAATGATGCTTATGTTTGTTTCAAGGAAAGTGAAATGATCACTTAGCATTTTAATTTCATAACTTTTCTGCATTTTCCCATAGAAAGATGCATGTTTTTTTTCCTATACTGTTAAAAAATAGGGCTATCAATAAAATAATCACAAACAATTAAGAAATGCAAATGTATCAGTAATAATATAACATTTGGAAAATGTGTTAAAAAGTATTGGTTTATTATAATGATAAACATTAATTAAAAGTACTTTTAATGAATAGCTCAATCATGTTAACTTTGACAGCCCTAAAAATACAATTTGTCAAATATTTTTTGTTTTCTCTGTCTCTCTCATATTTTCCACAGATCCCTTAGCATCCTCTTGCCAAACCAGAAAAAGAATTAATTACATTAATTAATTACATTAATTAAAAGTACTTTTAATGAATAGCTCAATCATGTTAACTTTGACAGCCCTAAAAATACAATTTGTAAAATATTTTTAGTTTTCTCTGTCTCTCTCATATTTTCCACAGATCCCTTAGCATCCTCTTGCCAATTAATTGATTTGTGGGCCACATTCATATATAGCTAAACAAAGACTTTATATATACAAAGACGGTGCACTAATACTACTATAAATGAGAGAAAGTGCGACGCGCAAAATGGCGGAATAAGTCCCGCCTTCTAAATAAAAGAGCCAATCAGTAATTGGTAAAGTCATTGCGTCACTGAAGCTCCGGCTGCTTTAGAAACAGTTCAACACTATCTCATGACCAATTGGTACAAATGAGTAAGAGGTGGCTAATTCGTATGAATTCGCATGATTTGTCTAAACCCCATGGGTATAGGTTTAGGGGCGGGGTCAGGGGTAGGTCATTCGTATGAATTCATACGAATTGGGCAACTCATAAAATATGTTAGCCTGGTTAAAACCAGACCATTCTCAGTTGTAACTGAGTTATGGTCTGGCAAAGCGTCATAGACAAATCATTTCCAGAGGGGCGTCACCAACGGACGTCGCGGATAGACCTAAACCCAATCAGAGCGATGAAGGAGATGACGTATGCAGAGCGGCGGAGAAACATCTCCGAGTGTTGTTCTTTGCTCGGTTTTTAACAAAAAGGAAACGTTCAAATCGCTTAAAACAGACGCGATAGCTGATTGGAACGAGTGATGTTCGACGGCGGCATCCATCTTTGTAATGTAGGCTACAAAATCTGCTTCAAAATCCCAGCGCTGTCGTCATCGTGTAAAGCCCGCCCCAACGTTTCTGATTGGTGCCTCGATTTCGGCGGATTGGAAATGGGCTTGAATGAACTCTTTGCCAGACTAACTTTCTGAGCAAATCTAAATTTGCCGGAAGTTGTCTGGGTTTTCCCAGACTAAAAATAAGTACTATTTAGCAAAAATCTTACCAGTGAGTATACGAATTAGCCACCTTGTAAAATATGTACGAATTGCAGTGAGATAGGGTTGAATCAGTGTTCTGGGACGCACGCTTATGACTGCACACGCGCATTGGCTGGTTCAGCCTGAAAAATGCAATTTTTCGTCATGATTTGAGCATTATGAGATTTCATTGGTGATTTCAAATATGAAATGTACTCGTAAGCTCGGTGAACAGCTTTGGGGAATTGATGTTTTCCCAATCAAACAGATAGGAGCTGTACTGGCACGACTGAAATAGCTGCCCGAGTGGTGTTTCAAAGATGGCCGCCGAGTGAAATGACTTGCTGAAAGCGAATTTGATCTAAACTATTATAACCAGCCCGATCTCACGGCAATTCGTACGAATTTTACGAGGTGGCTAATTCGTACTAATTCATATGACCTCACTCGTACAAATTCGTACGATTTTTGCTAATTCGTACATATTTTACGAGTTACCAAATTCGCATGAATGACCTACCCCTGACCCCGCCCCTAAACCTACCCATCACGTGGGTTTAGACAAATCGTACAAATTCGTACGAGTGAGGTCGTATGAATTAGTACGAATTAGCCACATTTTAATCACTCGTACGAATTCGTACGAATTGGTCGTGAGAGAGCGTTGATTATAACTTGAGAGTCTTTGCGTGACTTGAAATTGTAACTGAAAAAAGCAAATCAATTATAAAAACCTTAAGGATAATAAAATAAAGTATAATTACCTCAACCTCATTCATATGCTCATATTGCTGAACTACAGCTCTCTGAAAGCTCATCAAGTCCCATGAATACAATGCTAGGCCTACCATAGCCAGAACAGCACTGACTTTGTTCAGCACCACAGCGACGAGACACTGTAATACACAAATCACATCTTAAAAAAACCCTCTCCAAATCAGAGATGTCTGAATATAGAGTACTATATGTGACTGTTAAAGACCTACCAGAAAATAACTGGGAATCTGAGCTGCAACAATAGACAGGAATCCAATTACAATGAACTAAAATAAAAAGCAAAGCAATTCTTCAAATTTGTCTTATCGAAAGTTCAGACAAGATTAATTAGAGTATTGAAAATCAGCCAGCTTCCCATCATTCTGAAAATCATCAAAATGTGAATTTTATGTTAACAACACCCTGATTATTAATTCGGATTAACTTTGTGAAGGGACTAGCTTATTTAACGATTTAGAAACACAATAATAAGCAGAATGAGGAATAATTCTTACCACACCACCAAACCAAAGAGGAGCATCAGACCACATAATGTAATCGTGTATTCCAAATCTTAAAAATAAAATCCCGGTCACAATATTGAGGATTCCTACTATAATCTGCACAATCTATGGGATGAAAGAACAATTTATACACCAGTTTGTATTGTGATGAATCTCAAAATGTACATCATTACATGTTTTGCATTGCATTGTCCAATAATCACATTACATCACCTTCATTGCATTGTTTCAAAGTCTAGTTCTTGCCTCAAATCCAACATTTATAACTTTTCTTTAAATTATCATTGAAGCTCAACAAGTATGAGTTTTACCAATGACTGAAAACCATTTTTAACTAAGTCAGCAGAAAAACACATATTTTTAACATAATATTAAGTCCATAAAGTGTGTGAAAAATGTTATACAGTGTAATTACTTGTATTTCAGTGTTGAAATATAGAATCTATGTTCGTCATGTTTAAAAATACCATTTACTTTACTTTTATTTTATTCAAATATTTCAATCAGTTAAAGGGATAGTTCACTTTAAATCATGTTTAATTTGGACTTCTCTGTGCATGCTCTTTGAGGTGGTGACCATAGACCTGCATTATATGACTGACAGACAAGAACGGTTTGACCTAAAAATATCAAAATTGAAACTACTGCGGAAACAAAGACACCTACATCTTGGATGTCCTTGAGGTCAGCTAAAACATACCAAAAACTAATTTCAAAGTGAACTATCCCTTTAATCATCATATGATAAATAGTCAAGGCTGGAATACACTGCACGACTTTTAAAATCTGAAGAGAGGACTTGCCTTAAAGCGACTTTGGTCACTGACTTGAAGCTAACAAAATCTGTTCACCATCACACACGATTTTATGCAAAATCTGTCAACTCCAAATGCTGAAAATCGAGGTAAAGATCTGGCCTAAAGTCATGTAGGGTATTTCAGCCTTTAGTTGTAATGTCTGTTTCAGCGTCTTATCTCACCCCAAGCGCCATATAGATGCCAATCATCTTTGATTTCGCATACTGTGACACGGAACACACTGGACTGTAACACAGAGTGCCCAGGATCTGACACAGTATCGGCCATTTGCTGTTGGGGTTTGAGTTGATGGTGATCACGGTCACCCCCTCGCCCTGAGACATAGTCAGAGACATCCTGCAAATCTGAGTAGATAGACAAGAGGGAGTTTAACCTTCCAACAGGTGATAATGGCCAGTCCTCTTGTGTTTACTGCTTTTCATTTTGAGGACAGCCAAAGTAAGTATTTTAATAAACATCTCATTACAGGCAAGGGTGCAGTTTTAATTTTAACATTGGTGGAGACATCTAAACAGTTACCTATGCAAGCTTGTTTCTTCATTCGCCACAGAATAAAACATTTTAAAAGATAATTGCGACTTTTTATCTCACAATTGCGAGATATAAAGTCAAATTGCGTGATATAAAGTCGCAATGTCATGTTATAAAGTGAGAATTGCGAGATTTAAACTCACAAATGCATGTTATAAAGTCAGAATTGTGATATAAACTCGCAATTGCGTGTTATAAAGTCCAGTTCTAAGGAAAAAAGACTGACTTTTATTGACGCTACGCTGATATTGATCCTCATTTTAGTTCTCCTTGTTTGTCCCAAAGTCTGCTTGCCATGGTCTATGTTTGAAAGAAACAAGAACTGCGTGCCGCTAAACGTTACGCACTACGCAGTTGTCCACGTCTGTCGCCATGGTTACGTCATGGCTATGGCAGTATGAACGGAAACCGAGGATTGCGCGGATATTGCGTCATTGACAGGCGTCATTTTTTTCCGGGACGGCCACTTATTTAAAATAGGAATTTCTCTGAAAAATAAAAATCTTTGGAGACTTTTGGGATATTTTAAGTACACAACTGCAGGAAATATATCACACTGTGCAAGTGATGTTTGGATATTTTATTACAAAATTCGTACAAATTGTACCTTTAACATGCAATTCTGACTTTATATCTCCCAATTGCGTGTAATTAAGTCAGAATTGTGAGATATAAACATGCAATTCTGAGAAAAAAAGTCAGCAAGTTAATTTTTTCCCAATTGCGAGTTTATATCTCACAATTCTGACTTTATAACTCACAATTACGACTTTATATAACAATTCCAACGCATTCTCATCCCAAGGCGTCATACTGACACTTTTGCCAAAGCGTCTACATCCGACGCACATGGCACCCTTTAGCGTCAATATAACACGCTTCGGTTATGGGTAGGTTTTGGTCTGGGGTAGTGTTAGGGTTAGACCACTAGGAGGCGCCATATATCTGCGTCTCATATTGACGCTAAAGGGTGCCATGTGCGCTGGACATAGACGCTTTGGCAAAAGCGTCAGTATATGACGCCTTGGGATGAGAAAAAAAAGTCAGAAATGCGAGATGTAAACAAGATAAAATTGTGTTTTTTTTTCTGTGGTGGAAACAAGCTTCCATACCAAACTAAACCAGCAAATTACAATTTAGCTTTCTGTAAATCATGAATGAATAGCATTCATTCATAACTAAAAACAAATTAAGCTATTTAATCTATAATAACAAAATAATTAAATCTCTAATGTTTTAACTAATAGATAGCAACACTATCTGTCTATTCCTGAGTTGGTTTATTTCCTGGTTCTTGGTCCTATTCATTAGCTCTTGTGTATAATGTGTTTTCCCTTGTACTTGGTCAGTCGCTGTTGCTTGTAACTTTTGTTTTGCCTTATTCATTTAATAAAACATATCGAGCCTCTACCCTTTGCCTTGCTGCACGTCTCCTACCTGTCCTGGTGTTAAAGAGGCAGTTTAACAGAGACTTAACTAACTTTACTCTGTCCGTAGTGAAAACCTTTGTTAATACAAATCTTCATGTTATTTCACAATGCATGTTTATACATGTAAACAGACTGAAAGTTTCTTTCCAGTTTGCTGAAATTAGATTGCCAAGATAAAAATCAACACCTTTTACCTGAATTCACCATGGCACAATTATTATTCTTTATCTACATTTACAATTCATTTACAGATCGCATGAGAAAGAGTAAACTCACCTTGAATGTGACGGAGTCAGTTACAATCCAGCAAAGTTTCACACTCTTTGTCTTGTTGTTTTCTTTCGCGGCAGTGACACCCCTTTGGGAATGTTGTTTGTCCAAACACACAAGCAACCCGTAAACTCATGAGAGAAGGAAGTTACGAGAATGAAAATAGACCGTAGCTGGGTGTGTTCAAAATAGTTGTCTGTACCATTTCACTGTTCCCTCCACTTTTATAGTCCACTTGAAGGAGTGAATGAAAATGAGTAAGCAAATACGGATGAGTACTTGCATTTGTGCTTGCTTTAATAATCATTTGAAACTTAGCAAAATGGCAGCTCCAGTAGTAATGAAAAGATTTATCTGAAACTCTGTCATGGAAACTAGCATGTATAAACCATAATTAAACAATTTTATAATTCATTTAAAAGCAAGTTATAGCTGAATGTGACGCTACTTCTCTCTTTTTCCGTATATGACGTGTCAAGGTACTGGGCTACTCCGCAGCGGTTGTCTGATAAATAGTCTGATTTTAAACACTTATTAGACATACTGAAATGATTCAGGATAAGACAAAAACGCGGTTTGGAAGATGGATTCATGATGTACTCGCTCACAGGGGCGCAACTACCCAATGTCAGAGGGGTATGCAGCAACATTTTTTGCGCCCCCCCCCCAAAAGAGAAAAAAAAAGTGTGCCATGTAATAAGTGAGTAGGAACGAGTGAGAGCTAACAGATAAAATAAGTGCAAAATGCAGCCTTGATGAGCATAAGAGACTTCTTCCAAAAACGTTTAATTATTATTATTATTTTATTATTCAAAACGGTTGACCAGTAGTGTGAATAAAAAGAGAAACATGATATGCGTCACAGTTTTGTATTGTTTTAGGCTATGTTTACACGGAAACGATCTGAAGAGAAAACGCAAAAGTGGCGTTGCGTTATCACTTTTTATTCTGCGTTTAGACGAGCGTTATGGGTGGGAAATCCGCGTGCATATGGTGACGCAAAAGTGTGTGAAATTCGATGTAGTATGCACTCCAGGCGGCTAGGTGGAAATGAGAAGCACTGCCACACAACACCAATATCTTAGAATATTTTGTACAACTGCTGAAAAGACTCTTGTATGTTTTTCAGAGCTGCTAGGGCAACTTTAAGGTCCGACATATGGAAATAATCTGACATGTTGGTTGTTATTTTCCTGTACTGGCGCATGCCTGTTATGCGCGACGAGAGCCACCGTGAGCAGATTTGCGTTTTTACTGTTTAGACGGGAACGCGACGGTGGAGCGTTTTTAAGATTTCCACTCTGGAGGGTGGTTTCACTTTTTTGCATTTTTAAGCCCCCAAAACGCAGTTGCCGTGTAAACGAAAGGCACATCCGATAAAATATTTTTACGTTTTCACCCGGAATCGTTCTCGTGTAAACGGGGCCTTAGTTAGCTTTTCTGTTCTGTTCTAGTGTTTTGCGGTTAGTTTGTTAATTGGTTCTGTTCTCCTATAGTTCCCTGACTGTTTGTTTCCTTGGTTACTAATTGATTGAGTATTCTGTTCAGGTGTGTTTAGTTAATTATCCCTTTAGCTCCTTTGTTTGCCCTGTGTATTTAAAGGGATAGTTTACCCCAAAAATAAAAATTCTGTCATCATTTACTCACCCTCATGTTGTTCCAAACCTGTATACATTTCTGTCTTCTGTTGAACACAAAAGAAGATATTTTGAAGAAAGGTGGTTAACAGACAGTTGACGGTAACCATTAACTTATAACATAAATCTCAAGTCAATATCAACTGTTTGATTACCAACATTCTTCAAAATATAATCTTTAGTGTTCAACTTGAGGGTGAGTAAATGACGACAACATGTTCATTTTTGGGTGAACTATCGGTTTAAGCGCTGTGTTTGGTTCTTTTCAGTTGTCTGTTGCGTTTCGATCGTGGTTCAGTTCTGTATCCTTAATACCCTGAGTTTTGTTAAAATAACTTGAAGACTGCTGCGTTTAGATCCTGTTTCAACTTGATTTGCAACTGTGACCGTATCAGTGGCATCATTTGACCTGTTTTATATCGGTGAACTGATCAAGTTTCTGGTAAACATCCCATTGTTAAAGGGATACTCCACTTTTTTTGGAAATAGGCTCATTTTACAACTCCCCCAGAGTTAAACTGTTGAGTTTTACCGTTTTTGAATCCATTCAGCCGATCTCCGGTTCTGGTGGTACCACTTTTAGCATAGCTTAGCATAGATCATTGAAGTGGACAAGACCATTAGCATTTCTCCAAAAAAAAAAGACCAAAGTGTTTCGATATTTTTCCTATTTAAAACTTGACTCTTCTGTAGTTACATCGTGCACTAAGACCGACGGAAAATGTAAAGTTGTTATTTTCTCAGGCGTAATGATATGACGCAGCGCATGAAAATAGTCCCGTTTTGTTGACGGAAGGTAGCCTATTTTCAGGCGCTGCGTCATATCATTACGCCTGCTGCACTCATGGTACGGCAGTGAAGTTTCTTGATTATTACGCAGGAATGAGAGTATAGTTCCTAGCCATATCAGCCTAGAAAATTGCAACTTTACATTTTCCGTCGGTCTTAGTGCACGATGTAACTACAGAAGAGTCAAGTTTTAAATAGGAAAAATATCGAAACTCTTTGGTAATTTTTTATTTATAAATGCTAATGTATAAGGTTTTGTCCACTTCAATGATGTATGCTAAGCTATGCTAAAAGTGGTACCGCCAGAACCGGAGATCGGCTGAATGGATTCAAAAACGGTAAAACTCAACAGTTTAAAGAGCATATTGCAGGTAAAAAAAAAATCTAAATTAATATATAACCTTGTATGAAAATACCAGATGAAAAGGTAATGCAGGATTTAAAATGTTTTAAAACGACATAAGGGCACTAATTTAGTAGATAAAGAGAGCGTTTCTTGGACTGCTCGTAAAAACGGCTTTTTTTTCAACATCGCGTCATTTTACGTCACGCTAGGGAGCCTCAGCCTCGGCTCAGTGCAGAGTAGGCTGGCATTCAGTGAGAGCGGCCGTGAGTCAGTGTGTTTTCAGTAGTTTTTGTATTTCAATCTATCATCGTCATGGTAAATTATTGTGTTTGTGGAGGTTGCAAAAACTCCGGCCTGTCAGGACATCGAGTCCACAGGTTTCCATAACAAGAAAAAGGACGGTGCTGTATATCTTTTGTGCCTGGTGCGGTTTGTGCAGGTGAAGAGACGGGATTTCTCTTCCGCATCGGCTTCGAGAAACGCGGTCGTGTGTAGCTTTCACTTCAGATCGTATGTAGCGTTCACTTCAGATCGGAGGATTATCATCCCGGCGATATGATGGAGTTTAACATGGGATGCCGAAGCAAGAATATTGATCGTCGTATACACTGTACCAATGGCATCAAATAGTGTGATATAGGTAGTCATGCCCTAAATAGAGGCAACTTGTAATTGAAAAACAAAATTACTAGGTTGATTAAATATTCAAATCTTTAATTTTCTGTTTATGTTATAACCCAGATGAAAAAAATGTTTAAAAAATGTACTTGAGTATGTTTTTAGTAACTTACAATAGAAATATACTCAAGTATAGTTTTTATACATTTAATAGTATACATCTACCCTAAACATACTAATGTCTGCTGGCCTGATATACGATGGTAATAATCTGTACAATATTGTGAGCACAGTGTATATCGTTAGTGAACGTGTATATCTATAAGCACGTCTCTCACCAAGACACCTGTCCTGTTCTCCACTGGTTCTCCTCACACCACAACTCAATGTGTCTCTGACCGTTCTGTCTAACATTAATCCTGGCCTGTCCCTACTCTCTTGGCAGCATAGCAGGCTCATAATTTTATGGCTGTAGTCCGTCATACGAGTAAGTATTTCCTCAGCGTCCGAAATGTCATTGCGATCCATTGTTTTCCTGTTGTTTGAATCGACCGCTCTCCCGCCCGTTACGTCACGCCCGCCACACCCATTTTCAGACGCGGAAGTAAAATTTTCTCACAAAAACGACTCCAGAAGCTTATGTAGCGTATTTATAAGAATATTTTAAAGAAAATCTAGTTCCTACATTATTTTTCTATACATTGACTCGTTGGGTCCTCTAACCTGCAATATGCCCTTTAACTCTGGGGGAGTTGTAAAATGAGCCTATTTCCAAAAAAAGTGGAGTATCCCTTTAACCTTTTTCTTCCACTTGCTCTGATCCTGCAGCCGTGTGCCAAGAGATCAGCTCTCTTTAGACGGATCGACTCTCGAATATTAGTATAAGGAGGACCTGTAACTACATGCTGATGGCTTTGTTATCCTGATCTTATCTCTCTATATAGCTGCGCTCTCACTTCCTTTCTTATATAAATTAGCTTTTGCTGAGTCTCATTAACTTAACACACCATAAACACAGCATTTCCAGAGCCACATGAATCAAGACAGATGGTTGATTAAGCCATATTCTGTTCATGACTAAATCTTAAAGTCACAGAGGGAGGATAATATATCATTTAGGATGTGGAAAATACATAATTCTTCAAAAATGGCATCTTTATGTAACACAAAATACCCTGTAATGATAAAAAAATCTGAGATTGCTACAGACAGCAATTCATGTTTTATAAAACTCGTTCACATCAGCATTGGTGCTGCCTGGCATTTAAGTGTTATTTAGTTCCTCTTTGTTCAATGGTTATGATGAAGTATGTCTTTCTTGTGACATTCAGAGTCGGCTTGAAGAATTACATTGTCATTTTAGTGGAACAAATACACAAAAAAGATTTGGCCTTACATAAGCCTGGAGTGCTGACTTGACAGCGTTTCCCGGGGTATCTCTATTTATTGCATGCTACAGTGGAGGATAATAAGATTTGACAGATTATGTGAAAAGTTATAAACTTTATGTATGGGTTTTTGACACCCATCTTTGGGCATTTTGACTTCAGCAGGATCTAATTGTCCTGTTATGTGGGAAAGATCATAAAATCATGATGGGCATCTAAAACTCTGTAGAAACAGCAGTATTCTTTAATCTTGGGAGGCAGCTGACCATAGAAATCCTTTTGAAATGTTAAAAAAATGACAGATATATATATTTGTTGTGCCCTTGAATATTATTCACAATGATTATAATATTACAATTCTGAAAACAATGAAAAAT